GCCGCAGCGCACAATTTGGGAATCACTGGCATAGACTGTACACGAAACCAATTGAAAAGCAACAATACGGAAGATAAGGGATTTACATCCAGGGGGGAGGGGAAAGGTAATGAACGGGAGATTGAAAGAAGGTAGAGCAAGTGATAACTTTGTCTATTGTCTAATCAAACTCATAGAAAAAAAGGATGCAACAAGACATGCAAGAAGGAAAGGCCTGGATTAAGGACGTATCGTAAACCAGAGGAAAAGGGATAGCAAGAGAGAAGAGGGTGAGGAAGTTCCGGGAATAAATTGAAAACTTTCTTAGTGACTGTAGTCTGCTCACAGAGACAAGTACAACTTTCAGGGCCTGATATTCACATAATAAGTGAGAGGGATTGGGTCACAGAAATTGAGAATTATTGTCAAATTGACTAAAAATTCATTCGAGCTATAGCAAGCGACCAAAGATAGAAAGTTGATCAGGGGATTGACTTCGCTTGTCTATTTGACGAGTTGTAGTTTGGTGTGGAGAATGGCAAGACTCACTGACGATGCGGCGAAACGTCTTTTTTGTGAATGTACCAAGTTAACTCTAGAAATTATCATTCATACTATGGACTCCGGACAAGGTCTTCTTGTTCATTTTATGTCTATATATGTCTACTATTTACATGTGTGTCTGTGCATCCGGGCATGAGTGGATGAACTTTATAGGTGAAAGTGACTTGATTTGGAACCATGATCCTATTGAATGTGACACAACATCCTCTCCGCCTGCAAGTTCATCAATCACTTGTATTTCTACGTGGGCTTGCAATAGGAAAAAATGAAAGTATCTTTCCTTGGAATCCTCAAAATCCCAACTACTTGTTAGCAATACAGCTAATATTGTGAAATATAATTAAGTTTACGAAAATCAGTGTATGCGTAGTAGCGTGGCATGACTCTTCATTTCAAAGGGAAAGTTGGTTGGAAGGAATTCGTGATGTGGTCTCACCGGAAATAGGATGATTGTCGCGTAAGGAAGACTGTTGAATTGTGCGAAGAAGTCCTCGGCCCGCCATCCTGCGACCCCGATGGAACTGTGCCGTGACAGTCATCATTAGATCAAGATTCCATACTTTACGAAAGAGGGCAAAAATATACTAAACCAAGAGAAGAGGGTGGCCGGCTGCAGCCATAGTCGCTTTTTATACACTTAACATCGCTATCTGAATGAGGTCTCCCCTGATTTGGTTGGCTACTTCAACCTTACTCTACGATCGCTTAATGCTGAATCAAGTTTGGGCTTGTGCTATTGTCTATTGTATGTATGTAACGCACATGTCATGAGAAGTGTGATAGTCATAGCTAGACATGAGGCTAATCCAGCTGCCCCCTTCTCTTGCTCAGTAGCTCTTCCCACACCGCCTCTCTCTCCCTTTCCCTAAGTCTATCCAACAGCCACACTTAGTCTTCTACACTCGTTCCACATGAGCACAAAGCATTTTAACAGCCTGGTCTAGAAAGAGAGTTTGAATATTCTCTACATGAAGGAACTGCTGAAGAGTGTTAATTTCTCTTTATACCTTGTTCTTATGTTCCATTTCGTAAGAAGGTCACCCAACTTTTTCCCAAGCTGGCAGGATAGCAAAATCAGGAACCAGGTAGAATTGTCCAGTTGTATATCCCGCACATGATAGCAAACTCCCATAATCTTGTTAACTGCATTTGATATGTAATTGTCTGCTAATCCTAGTGGGTAATTGTTTTGAAACAGTATATCCTTCAATCTATCAATCTCCTGGTCCCTATGGTTTGCAAAATTCAATTGTCTTAGCTACGCAGCAATCCTGCTTCAGTTTCTGGTGAGACCAATTCACTAATTCCTTTCAACCAACTTTCCTTTCGAAATGGAAAGTCATGCCACAATATTTCATTACAGAATTTTTCGATACCCACCTTTTATTCATATACATAGTACTTCCACTTGCCACATAGCTTTACTGTTTTTTTATAATTATATAATATTCACTATCAATTTTTAATTTCCATCACCTATTCACTTCTCAAACCTTTTGGCATGTGAGAAATATGATGCAATAAATAGGTTGATTGCCAAGGTATCAACATTTATTTACCGTTTTCCAAGTAACCGCTGACCGGTAAACATTCTTTTTATTCGGGAGGTGTCGTGATTTTCGATTTTATGCCCCAACTATTATCCGAATGATAACACAATCAAAGGCAGGAGGCTTTGGGGAAAAAAAGTCTGGAAGCGGTGATCATAAGTGCTTTTACAAAGAAAAATATCCTCTTATTTTTCGTAGCCTAGAAAAAGCACTAATATTGCCTTGAAAGGCATTTTTAAATTCACACCTTAAAATTGTATTGCCGATTGCCGAACACATTATGACAAGTTATGCAGGTGAACTGAAAGAAGCATAAAAATCGCCCAAATGAAATATTTAAGACTTTGCGTTTGCTGAGGACGTGCGGCTAAAGGGTTAGAAAAAACGGAATTTGCCGCACTTAATTGCAAAATATTTTGTATAAGGAAATTCTGCTAAAATTACGGGCATCAAAATTTACTACAACCCCAGTATACAATTGACGATTCTCAAATTAAGGCACTTGAAAGCTTAGGAGCATACGGCAATGGAATAAAGATAAATGAAAAGAAAGATAGGTTAAGGAATAAAAATTAATGCTCCAAAAGTAATTAGTCATCAGAAAGTTGGCTACCTTGGCTTCAGCCAGAAGTTCTTCTATGTTTGATCTGATTAGTCCTCGATTCGCCTCTCTCGGAATGCTTGCAACAGTTGGCATCTGAGTGTTGTCCAGAGGCATGCCCTCCCGAGGTGATGGTCTGACGGAAACTGTTTGTCCGTTGCGCCATTTCTGGGAGCCATTATATTTGTTCTCGGCACCTGCAACAGCGGTCGAGTTATGGCCGCCATCGTAGCCAGGTTTTCCGTCTTCATCATCGGCCAAAGTCTCCGTCGTTAGGTTGTCGTCAACCCGCTGTCTCAGAAGACCACTTTGCCTGTTTCCTTTTGTGCGCGTCTCGACTTTATCTGCTCGGGATCCAGTGGCCGACAGGCCTTCAGCCTCACCGGATTCCGAAGCCTTTGTTGGTAAAGTCTGTGCTGCCGCAACAGCTGACGGGCTTGACGTGCCTTCGAGGACCTTAATAGCGACGTCAAGCACTGTTCCTCGGGGCCATTTGTGCTCGGTCACTGCTGACTTCGGCACACGCCATTGGCCTTTGTATACAGCGCCAAAGGCGCCTGCGCCTAATAAGCTCTCAGGAAGATGAGGATCGAATACCAGATCGTCAAGGGTGATCATCTCTAGGCGGCCCATGTTGGGCTCGCGCGCAGCTGCTTGACTCTGAGAAGAAATGGAAAATGGAGAATCTAGTCTTTACAGACAATTCAAATCATATACTTTAAAAGCAGAGCTATGACCATAACAGATGTATAGAAAACTTTTATCTTCAATCTTGGGAAGAGTGAATAAGGACAGGCTATATGGCTTCCAACTAGCCCAAATTCTCTCTGCCCATTTAAGAGATCGCTATGTCTTAGTAATTACAAATTGATATAAGTTCCAAAGAAGCATTTCGAATTCTGTAGCCGCAGACAGCTAACCTTAAATTACATGATGATGATACTGATGATAATGACGATGATATGCTCATGTTCCTCCGCATATGGACACCCGAAATAACCTCCATCAGAATTATCTAAAGTTTATTCCTAGTCTAAATTATGTATATTAAACACTAACTAGCCAATCTGTCTGCTGCTGCACAAAGAAACGTGTTAGCTATTTTAGTCAATTTTGCAAGTTTATGCTAAAATTAGACACATTTTTCTGTTCCTTCTGTTCCTTCTGTTTTCTGTTCAGTCCATTTGGATTTACCTTCATGTCGGGCTCGAGAAGATTGGTATAAGCGGAGCGCAGCTCCTCACGCACTTTGTCCGCCTCAGCCTTCCTATTGAGATAAACCACAATGATGGCGGCCACAATAGCAACCAGGCAGAAGAGTCCGACCAGGACGGCGATGCATGTGATGAGCACAGTGCGTCGGCTCCGTTGTCCTGCGTCCAATTGGCCCATGGCCTCGAGGTACTCCGCCTCAGAAAGGCACACACGACCTCCTGGTTGAACGAAGCGTGGCTTGTCGGGCGGACAGGTCTCATTGCACAAAAACTAGCCATGGCGGAAAAAAAATCATTTTAGAAACAGGATCATTGTTCGGCTTAGGTCTGCTCACTATTCTTAGCATTGAAAAATATTCGTCATAAGAAATTAAAAAATAATTGTCTTAAATTGTCTTAAATTTAGCACTTCTTTGATGTGTGCGATCCAAAGTTTTCTTCTGTAAAAGGCGCATGTGTATGTAATATTTGATAAAATATGTATCAGTTCGACATAGGAAAAGGTTTGGAAATTTGGTCAAGCCTATTGTGGCGTCTACCAGGTCTATCGCTGTCTGCACAATTTCAGTTAGTCCAAATATGACTTTTAGAAGCAATATTAAAGTCATATTTGATACGTTTATATGCTATATAAAATAAAATCTGACTATCTAATATGGAGCACTAGAAACATGCCAAGTAGAAATCATAGTAAAGAAGAATAAATGCGTCTAGTACAAAGGAGTAAAATAGAATGAAGTAACTGTCAATTGTTATGCCGCGGCCTTAATTCATGCAATAAGAATAAGGTATATTATAGGAGAGACTTTGATTTCGATTAAAAGTGAATGATGAGAAGATGACGTCTGATTCTCATTGTACTACAGCCGTTTAGCCTTGATACGACGTTCATGTTGACGCAGTCCACGACATTTTATCCCGTTTCGGATGAAAATGTGCTGAGTTTACGTCCATCATATGATGGACATAATCATAGATGGAAGTCATTCTCGTGAAAGTAGCATGTTAACTTTAGATCAAGAAGACTGTCTGGCTCCATCCTACTTCTTATATATAGTCAAAACTAAAAAATACAAATGTGTAGATATAGAGAGATATGAAATAGTTTGACTAATTGTCTTTCATATTGGTCATACTACTCATACTCGAGTTTTGAAAAAAAAATATATATATATGTTAATGTTATACGTATTAGCGATTCTAAATCAGAGTGATCAAAAAAGCCTAATGCCGGGCTCTGGTCATCAGGGCTTGATGATCCAAGAAGAAGAACCTGACCAAAACTGCATAGTTTCGTGAGCTACTTTGGCTGAGATGTGCATGTGTATGTCAGGTTACGAGACCACCTGCCATCATCTGTGCTTCTAGTGTTTAACAAGTCAAAGAAAGGCATAACTAAGCAGCGTAATCTCGCATGTCCACTGTCAGATGCTGGGAATCATGACAACTACTATGGCAGACGACTTCGGACTAGGTGCGTTCT